AATAAATATTAATTATTAAATATCTTTTATCAATTACATGCTATTTAAAATGACTAAACAAAACAAAACATACTTGTATCTTTTTCGTAATATTGTCCGAGTAAAGCTTTTTCAGAAGTATTGAATCATGAATTCACGTAAAAATAAAACATGACCAAACATAGACTCATAGACAGCTTTAGTAGCAATAAAAATCTTTCACAAATTAATATCATTGCTTGACATGCTACGAAATGTTTTAGAATGTTTTCACTCTTGTTCCTGTTAGGTTTTATGATATTCTCTCTACCAATTTAAATGTATTTGAGACTGCCTTTGCTAGAAAGAATAGTGTGCTTGTTTATTGTTTTGCCTTGTATGGGCAGCCAGGTAGGGATTGGGAGTTATGTTCTTCTTGAATTCTTTGGTAGCAGTTAACATCGACCTCCACTCCTAAATTTCAGCTACAATGCTACAATAATAGACTTGTGACGGCACATGAAATGCTGGAAACTCATATCATTGCACTAGTTTATGCATAGCGAGAGAAAGGCCGGGGGGGGGGGGGGGTTGTTTGTGGTTTAGTGGTGTGCACAAGTATTATATATTGTGCTTTAAATTATACGGTTAAGAGTGTAATTATTATATATTTTTTATATTAATTAATATTAAAAAATAAAAAGTTGGAGAGTAAAAAAATTTCTTGAGAAAAATCTTTAAAAATAATATTTTTTTATTGATGACAGTTCTTAAAGTTGTTTCCAAGAGTTAAAAACATTCTCGAAAATAGAAAGAACTTGATCTCAAGGGAAAATTGGTTCCAAGCTGGAACTGTGGGTAAAGGGAATTATTCCATACCACTTGGATAAATCCTAATTAATGATCCCAAAATTTTACTTTCTGACATTAATTAATATTAAAAAAAAATAAAAGGTTGACGTCAATTTCACCATCAATTTTTATTCTTTCACTAAATATATCATTTACTGTAGAAAAGTACAATAATTATACGTCAGTAAAGGAAAAATATTTAATCATCAGATAATATATAAAAAAAAGTTGTATAAAAAATCCGTTAACAAGTATAACTCTAACTAGTATAACTCTAAGCTCTTCCTGTCTCTCTCTTCTCTTCCTATGTCTCTCTAAAATAGAGTTTACTTTGCATCAATCTTATAAATACTTTGATTTTTTAAAGTATTTTAGTAGGTTAAATTTTAAGTTGAGTAATGACAATTGATATAATATTTGTAAAACTTTTATCAATTTTGTAAATGGATAATAATTGATATATTTTTTAGTTTAATACATTAAAAAATATATTTATTAAAAAATTATTATTTTTTATTTAAAATTAAATATAAATAAATTTAAAAATACGATCAAATATTAAATTACAGGTACTTATATAATATTTTAAGAGCTAAATCGGATTGGTATTGAAAAGCCTGTTGAAGATATCTACCAATTATTTTCCTTTGTAAATATATTTTACTTCATTTATATTTTTTTTCCATTTATATGGAAATTATTTTTTCTTTATTCTATTTTTTACTTTATATATTTGTGCAAAAATATTTTTTTAATTTAATCTTAGAATTAATTAGTTTTAAATCAAATAAATTAAGTTTGGTAGAAATTTTTAATTTTATAAATTATTATCACAGAGTATCAAAAATCTCTTAAATTTATTAAAATATTCTTAAACTAATTATTTCATATCCCATTTTTTCTTCATATTTTATGTTATTAACTACTTTTAATAATAATTTTTTTCTTTCTTTTAAAAGTCAAATACATCTCAACGGCCCACAAGAGATTTAATAATGCTAGTTTGTACAAAAAAGAAAAATGAAAGAAGTTATTTTCAATCGTTTTCCTATAAATTATTTGTAATTAGTAGGCTTTTAAATACAACAATCAAATTTGAAAATAAACAAATTATAATTTATATATAAATTTAAACATGTAAATAAATCATTACTCTAAATGATAATTTGTAATCTTCTTCATCTATTGGTTGCATATCAATTGGCACAATTATGGAATTGGGCCTTCAGACTCAATGATTCATCCCAAATCATAAGTGCTTAAGTGTAGTTGGTTGGAAATTCCACTTCCACCAATGCCTTGAAAACAAATATCCTAATTCCCAAATTCTCTCATGTTCAAAAAAATTGGCACAATTATGATTATCAACAATAATGTTATGATCATTAAAATTAAAAAATATTATTTTTAAAAATATTAATTTGGGTTAATTTGATTGATAAAAAAACTAATAACTATAATTATTAACTAATAATTAATAAAATAGCTAATATTTATTTATTAACAAATTAAAATTAATTAAAAAATTAATATTTTCAGCACGGGTTAAGATAAAAACTAAAATTTTAGTAACCTTAAATATTGATGGTAGTAATAACTACATCCTCAATATCAACTTGAAATTAAGTGAGTGTTTTTGGATATATATCAAAAAGAGTTATATTTGATACTTGATTTGAAAATTTTTTGGTACAGTATTTTAGACTTGATACTTACCCAAATACTCAAATACCGATTTTTGGTACTTAACCCAATATGTATCGAATAACTTGTAGATATTTACTTATATATTAGATTAGAGAAAGAAAGCATCTAATATAAGATGTTATTGTTACATGTGTTATATATTTGGCTTAAACTTTATTATTTACACAAGTTGTAATTGTTGCATGTGTGATTTGTTTGAGTTATAAACCTTACCTTTTTATTTCTATTTTTTTATTTTTTTATTTTTATTTTTAAAATTATTGTTATTATATAAATATTAAGTATAATAAGTATATGTGAAATTTCAATTATACAAGTAAACAATGGGTAAGTTAAACAAGTTAGTTAAATAGATTAAGTAAACAATTTTAAACCCCTATATTTATTACTTAATTTGATACTTTTAGATATGTTAGTTTTATATCCATTACTTATCCCTTTTTTTTAATAATTTGGGTATAACATTTATCCAAGTGAATAAAGTAATTGTAGATAACATTAGTGTTATACATACTGATCATACTGGTTAGTACGATCAGTATGTACCAATTTTTAAAGTAGATTGAAACGATATAAGATGGAATTTTGTTTTAGTCAAAATTGGTGTACTAATTGAAATTTGGTGTACTAGCCAGTACATTGAAATTTTGACCAGTACACAAACTATGCCAAAATATAAATAAATAAATAAATAAGGGATTCCCTAGCTAACATGACGTCGTTTTGGCTAGGGGCTTCTTAATTACCCCTGCAATTTCATATTGCAGTGTTGCTATCCTCCGATCCTCGACCTTGATTCCTCACTAGTGGTGCAGTCACTACTTTATCTTCTTGTTTTGCGGATCACACACCCTAGATCTTGGACTTGGAGAGCAATTTGTGGGCTAGGGGCTTCTTAATTTAACCCTTAATTTAACCCTTGCAATTTCAGCAATTTCATATTGCAATTTTCCAACCATCCTCAACCTTGAAGTTTTGTTGGTGGTCCAACCGTTGCTCTCTCTTCTCATTTCGCAAATCATGCGCTGTAGATCTTGGAGAGCAATTTGTGGATGGAATTAGAAGCAGCGATTGCTTCATCCCGTTGTTAGCTCCTACAACTTCAAGTCTCACAAGAGGATTATTGTCGAAACCTTCGAGTCTGCCATGAACCTCTTCTACAAGAAGACTTTTCTCATTAAGCGTACTAAAAAGTTGACATTTAGGCTTTCTTTGTGTGTATGATGCGGTGTGGCATGCTTTTGTTTTGTTCTGTGGCTTAGTTTTTACTTTTGGTTTGTTTGAGCTTTTGAAAGGTTTAGTAAAGTTGAAGGAATTCAATTTTGTGTAGAAGAAGAAAGGTTAATGGTTGAAGAAAGAAAAGATTGTTACCTTATCCCCAATTACTTTAGTTTATCTTATAATTGTTTTAAAATTTGATATTTAATGTATAAAAATACACATTTATAGTGATAAATCCGAAATGATACGAGAAAAAATCCAATATCTAGTGCGTATTATTTTAATAACAAAATCAATACATATGCCAGTACAATATTGATAACTTTAAATAACATACATACTCGTAACTAATAGTCACCTTTACCTAAAATGTCAACTAGTAGGCCCAATAATACTTTTGTTGGGCCAACAATGTTGTTGGTTGGGTTGGGCTGCAACTTTGAAACCATTAATTAACAGGGCGTGCAGTCCGTGAAGACAATGGCCCATGGAACAACATTCCTAATGATACCGTTGATATTTCTCTCTTTAAAAAATGGAAAAAAAAAAAAAAGAGACACGTGTAAGATTTTTAGAAGCCCATCTGGATTCCTTGTATTCAGATACTTACGGATTCCGTCCTGACCACAATTTATCAGATTCAGGTGGGCCCCGTTAGAATCGTGGTCAAACAATTAACTGTAAATATAATAAAAAAATAAAAAATAATAAAATTACATTATCACACCACCATTGCATTGTAAATATAGTTTTATATTATTAAATCTTTTAATCAAGAGTTTATCATAATATTATTTATACTTTTATATTGTATCTAAGTTTTGTGAGTTAATAATTATATATTTATTTATAAATCTTAAGATTGAGCTTTGAATTTTGTCTCTTCAAATTGTAATTTATTTAAAAAATAATATTTTTTATATTTATATATTTAATATCATAATAATAATTTATAATTTTATTTAATATTAAATTATCAATAAAATTATATTATAATATTATTTAAAATTAGAAATGTATGATAATATAATATTACAAATAAATTCTAAATGAAAAACTTACAATATAATTTGATTTTAAAATATTTGGACTATTATATTATTTTAAAGACAAAACTTAATCTAACAAATTAAATATTTTAAATTATAAATAATAAAAATTATTACTGATAACAGATATTAATAATAATAGTGAGATATCAATTATACTCTATTTATACCACAAGTCCAAAACTGAAGTATTTTAGTTAAACTGTAGGCATTACCAAAAAGAAAAAAAAAAAAAATTTAAGAAGAGCTCGTCCTCCCCTTCTCCCTTCGAACATTTTTGATTTCAGAAAAATAAAGATGGAAACTTTCCTCTGCCCAAGTTCTGATCTTCTAAAATCCTCAAGACCCTCTTCACTCTCCCTCTTTTCACATCGATTCTCATGTTCGAGTCGTGGGGTAAGCAAGAAATGGAGTGTTTCTTTGCCACGTTCTTCGCACCAGCAACGTCAAGAAGCAAAACCCAAGCGGCAATCCGTCAGTCATGATTTGCTGAAATCAATAACAAAGGGTTTCGTCGGTTTAGCTGCCGCAGCCACCGCGCTGGCGTCGGTTCACTCTGATTCTCCGGCTTTTGCAGAGTCCATAACCGTCGCCTTCCCTGTTTCCCGCGCTCAAGAGGTGACATATTCTTTTCATTTGCATCAATCAGTCTAGTCTTTGGAGTTGAATTTTGGTTTTTATTGAATTTTTATTGAAAAGGGCTTGTGATGCCTTGAAAGTGTGGTTATGACTGAAACAAAATTGTCAAGACCAGACATTACTAACAAGTAAAAATTTTAGTTTAAGCTTTTAAGGTTCACATGGCAGCCAGTGAGGGCTTTGGCTCGGATTGTTTTAGGGCACTTCTTTGCTTGAGTTTAAAATATAGTGGAAATGCGAATGGATTTTGACTGTTTGTGTAGTGAGTTACTAAAGAGAACAAGGTTTATGTGGTAGGTGAATACAGTGCAAAGAACACTTGTGGAGGCTTGGGGTTTGATTCGGGAAACTTTTATAGACCCAACTTTTAATCATCAAGGTATTTGAGTACTTCATTCTCCATTTTCCCTTTAACTGAGAAATCAATATGACCCATCTGTCCAGAGATCACGTATTGTGATTAAGAACAAAATTTATTCAAGAGTTGATTGTGTTCAATATGTTTCCTAGTAAACCAAAATTATTTTGGGTGAATGTTGAGAGTTTTTCTGTGGCAGATTGGGATTTGAAGTTGCAGCAAACAATGGTGGAGATGTTTCCCTTGAGGTCAGCTGATGCAGCATATAGCAAAGTAAAAGGGATGCTTTCAACTCTTGGAGATCCTTTCACTCGGATCATCAGTCCAAAGGTATTAAATTTTGCTTCAGTTTTCAGCTCATGTCAATAGTTTATCAACTTTAGCTACCACAGTTATGTACATAATACCCAAAAGAAAAGATCAATTCTGTTGCGGTCACGTTATTTATGCCAAGTATTATATTCTGATATCTAAAAGCGGCCTTTTGCTTTTAGGAATACCAAAGTTTTAGAATTGGAAGTGATGGAAATTTGCAAGGAGTTGGCATCTTCATAAGTGTTGAACCAAGAACAGGCCATTTGGTTAGTAAACAGAAATTTCTTGTTTTCAATTATTTTGCTGCCATATACCCTACGCTTGATTGACTTATTGAGTGTTCATTAGGATATCTTCTCCAACCAGGCAATTGAAGATTTCTTGTGCAAATTTGCTTATTTTGTCTCGATATTTCATTTGATAACCTTCATGCATGTCTCAAGATGTTTCACAGTTAGCATCAAGCATTTTATATTTATATACATTGAAATGGTACTTGTCAATCATCATACATATCTCTAGCAGTTTCACCGTGTACATTGCTCATAAGTTCCTGCAATGCAGTGACATATTTATTTTACTGACACAGGTAGTTTTGACTTGTCTAGAGGGTAGCCCAGCTGCTCGTGCTGGTATACATGAAGGAGATGAGTTGATTGAAATTAATGGTAATTTGAATTTAAATTTTTTTACATTTTGCAGACTCTAGAACGATCCTAGTTAATAGAACATGACTAAATATGTTCATGAGTAAACTTTGCCTATTGTGCTGTATAGTCTCAAGTGTTTCACATGTTTTTCTTAGGAAAAACCTGCTTGATTCATGGATAATATTAAGTTTCTTCTGTTTTACTTAAGGCTCCAGCAACTTCATTTTTTCAGTTTTGTTAAAATAAAAACTTTGTTTACTGAAAAGGTAACTATAATTAAGTACCTATGGGCAACTTGGAATGTTCAAAGGATCTGATAAAGGTTGTAAGTTATGTCTGGCTGTTTTCTTCAGTATATTGTTTAGGTTTTCTTAATGCAAATAAACTGGTTAATGAAGTAAGAATGGAATTTACATGTTCTAAATCTTGGCTTCTTCTTTTTTCTTCTTCTTTTTTTTTTTTTTTCTTGAAGTAAAATGACTAAGCTTCAATGCTCTTTGTGGGACTTCAGGGCAGAGACTTGATGGTGTTGATAGTGAAGCAGCAGCTCAAAGGCTTAGAGGCCAAGCCGGAACATCTGTTACAGTAAAACTCCAAAGTGTAATTATCTTGATTCTCATTCGCTGCAAGTTAGCAACATGAATGCAGACTATATCTCCTGAAATTTTGATGTTCTCAAGTGGCTTTAAATTGATTAAATGAAAAATTGTGTGGTTATATTTTCCAGGGAAAGAGTTTGGGAAGTGCTTCTAGTATCAAAGAGGTAATATATTGTTCATGATGGTCTCTAGAATTCTAATTTCATTAAATTTCTTTTATGAACTAATGTGGAAAAGGTGACCCTTCTGCTTAAAGGTTAAACTGCCTCGTGAGTACATTAGGCTTTCACCAATATCCAGTGCTGTCATCCCTCATAGAACCCCGGATGGCCGTCAAATAAAGACTGGTTATGTGAAGCTATCAACATTTTCACAGGTACATATCACTTGTTTTCTTAAATATGAAAACATAGAATGATATTCTTATAAATGACTAAGAGATTGTCTTCCTCTTGACAGACTGCTGCTGCTGATATGGAAAATACAATCCATGAAATGGAGAACCAAGGCGTGCATTCGTACATACTAGATTTGAGAAATAACCCAGTAATCTCCTTATCACTGTTTTCTGTTCTTGGAGGATCTTTTTAATGAGTTTTCACCCTTCAATTGATTTTCATGTACCATTTGCAGGGAGGTTTAGTAAAAGCAGGACTTGATGTTGCGCAGATATGGCTTGATGGGAATGAGACTCTTGTGAACACAATTGATCGTGATGGAAAAATGTCACCAATCAACATGGTCAATGGCCATGCTATAACACACAATCCCCTTGTTGTTCTTGTGAGTATTCCGATTGTCTTCTGCAATTGTTACATTTCCATTCTCTCACGCCCTTGGCAAGTTTGAACATACAATTTCCTTATCCACTGTAAAAGGTCAATGAAGGAAGTGCAAGTGCAAGTGAGATCTTGGCAGGTGCATTGCATGACAATGGTCGAGCTATCCTTGTAGGCCACAAAACTTTTGGTAAAGGGAAAATACAGGTATGTTTGTCTGTTACAAAAGCAACTCTTCTTTTGCTGATAAAAATATTATATATATATATAAAAAAAAAAAAAAAAAGACTGGTGCATAGTTGCTGTATAATGATATGAAACTGAGTTCAGACATATATGCATCTTTCTTGTTACAGAGCGTCACAGAGCTACATGATGGGTCTGCCCTGTTTGTCACAGTTGCAAAGTATCTGTCACCTGCGCTTCATGACATAGATCAGGTTGGAATAGCACCTGATGTACAGTGCACAGCAGACATGCTCAATTCAACCAAGGAACCATCATTTAAGAATAAGGGCTCAGTTTCATCCCTGGAAGCAGACTCCTGCATCATGGTAGCAGAACATGAGTTGGACATCCAAGAGTCCAAAGGCACTGCTTCCTGAGATACAAGATCCGGGAGGAATCAAACCTGTGGACAGTAGAAACATTTATAGAAAAAGAAAAGCAATATCAAATTAACACTAGCGCACAACACACTGGTTGTTCATTGATTGTACATTTTAGATCAAAAGTCTTTGACTAAGCTATTCAATTTTCTTTTGCTCGTTCTGTGCTCCGTAATTGGGTGCCCAGTAATTTCTGAGCCTTCTAAGATCCTCCCTAATCATTTTCTGGGGCTTTCTGAGAATGCACTCGTCAATACGAGTAGCTAATGAATGGGGGAAAAGTAACCTTGCTGATAAAATAGATAGAGGATTGCATATACCCTTTCTGGAGTATAAAAGGATGCCATAACTTTAACTACAAGAGTATAATCAAGACATTGTTTATTACAAGGGAGTGCCAAAGCAAGAGCAAAGAATCTGTATATGCTGTAGAATTGGTTCTCATGTGGTTGTTTTGATAGCTGCATCGTTGCATCCATTCTTTTAGACGATCAAATCTCTGTGTGTTTGCCTCAGAGAATGAGAATCTTACCAGGCAGAAATCCATGTTCAACTCATTAAACTGATAGTTTCATTTGGGAAGATGACATTAGGATTTCGAATGTGTGGATTGAGTGCTGAAACTCCTTTCCAATTAGCCCCAGTACCAAGTATGCGGGATGAGATGCTCCACAACGTGTCACCTGGCTGAACCTTACTTCTTGTGGAGGTTGAAGGTTTAGGAACAACCTTCGACTTCATGACCTTATTGCCTTTTCCCATTCCATTAGCAAGTAACCAACGAGAACCAGACTGTTGTTGGGTTGTGCTACCGAGAAGTTTCTTATTCCCAGTCTCAGGCTTCAAACCGGCAAGATGTACTTCTGTGATTCTAAATTGAGGGCTTCCTTCCTCTTTGGCAGCTCCTTCATTTTCCATTTCTTCTGCCTCCTCTTTCACTGCAGACTCAGACTCATCATCCTCTCTGCTGTTATTCCTGAACCCTGAAACTCTGCAGTATACTTTTGGTTTTGGTGGTATAAACACTCTTTCTACTTGAATAAATGCAAGCATTGGAGCACCTACCGGCTCATAGTTTCTCAGAGGATCCCGAAGTTGAACCATTAGTGCCACTGTGAAATTATTTCCTAGCAACCCACATTTCTTGCCCCGTTTCCCACCCTTTGATCTTCCACGAATAAAGTCCAATGAGTTAGCATGATGGGCAGCAAGAATTTTTGAAGTCTGCTCACTTATTTGATCTTCATCATCAATTTCACCAGAATCAAGCCGCATCCATTCATCCAGGGTAAGTGACAGCCCCATTAATCCATCAACATCATTACCAGTGTCTTTTATGTCCAATAACTGCAATCCAGCAGCTCCCTCCAAACCTAGGGAACCACTGAGACTAACCTCCTTGCCTTGGAGGGCCGAAATTTCCCCAATAGACTGAGTACTGATGTTTGAAGGTGCCTCCTCATTAGACATGCCAGATTGTATTCTCAACCCTTCCATCGAGAGTGCTTCAATCTTATCCATAGCCATAGGAGCAAGATCTTCAAGGGATACATACTCAGAGCCCATCTCATTGGCAGAGATTGAATTAAATCTGTTAGAGTGGGATCCAAATGGCCTTCCTCCAACTTCTTTATGCCCACCAGATATCTCTTGCCCAACCTTAGATTCATGCTGCAAAAAACACTGCCTGCACCAAGGAAGAAATGACATATAAGTATGATGGTTCCTATAGAATTTAAAGAAAAAAACATATTATGCTAAACCAAAGAAATCTGGACTCACAAACCTCTCATGTCCTTCCAGGGTTAGTGCAGCTTCCCAAGCTACCTGCTGCATTGTCTTCCCAGTTATGTCTTCTAAAGGCATCACTTTATTTGCCTGCATAGAAAGCTTCTCAATTCCAAGAGAAGCCAGTCGTTGTAGTATCTCCATTATACTGGAACCCATTTCTGCAGGAACTACGACTGGACTAGAAACCTGCATGATCAAGCTCCCACCATTTTTAGCATTCTTGAAAAGTGATGGATTCATAGACCGCAAGTAGCCTCCATTTTTTGTCTGAAGGAATGGACCCAAACCTTCTCCAAGAGGAGGCAAATCAAGGAGCTCTTCAGGAGATAAATGTACTTCACTCCCAAACCCACTAGAACAGTCAGGTGGAGAACATTGAAAAGCGTTCTCATTCAGTCCCCACTTACGCATTAAAGCTTCTGTTTCTAAGTCTTCCAAAATCTTAGCCATTGTCTTGCCCCTTTCGCGGGTTGCTATTTGGCCGTCTTCCTTTGCAATTGGGATAGGTGATGACCCAGCAAAATCCTCGGACTTCTTTCCCCAGGGAGATGCAGTTTGACTGTCATAGCTGTGTTCTGGTTGTTCCCTGTCAGCCATGTCAAAACCAAATAATGGACAACCATTGGCTAGGGTATCCTTCTCAAATTGCCTTAGCAAGCGCTCCCTTGGAGACTCAGATTCACTCTCAGAACTCAAACCAAATGGACTATGTGCAACACCAAACATGTTCAGAAATTCACTCGCCACAGTTTGAGTAATTTCATCCAGGTTGTCTGATCCACTCTCCCCACTACGTTCATACTTTTTTTGAATCTCCAAGTCACTTTGGTCTTCAGGAGAATCTAACTCTGTCTCTAGTTTCGAAACACTCCTTAAAGCTACCTCCAAATCTTTCAATAATGATTCTTTTGAGCACTGGTCATCCTCTTTGGAATTGTGAGCTTGCACCACAAGCCCATCCTCGATTGATGGCTGAAGCTGAGTGTCTTTTTCAGAATTTACTCCTACACCAGGATCAATTTCAACAACTTGAGGTCTCTCCACTGTATATACATCAACAGCCATTATGGCATCCTCCTCTAACTTAGCCTGATCATTTGATAGTAACTGTACTGCTTTTTCAACCACAGAACACTCTTTATCCTGCATTTTGATTTCAATATTTTCTTTACTTGATTCAGGCATAGAATAGAACTGTGGTTTTATGGGCTTAAAGGATTCAGTAAACACATCTGACTCAGGCGTATAATTGACTGAACAATCAGACTTGTCTTCATCAAAATTCTGATACAGCAGAGTTACTGGACTAGCTAGCTCTGACCTTGACATTGGCAACAGCACATGAAGATCTTTCAAGTCAATTTCAGACGGAGACAAGGGAAGAGACTTGCACTTAACTAAACTAGGATGACTTTCAACACGCCTTATGTCGTCCTCGAAATTCTCATGACCAAATCCAGAAGCTGGCTTCCTGGGACTCAGATTATTACCCACAGATGAAGCCGGTCTATCCCCAATAACTCTATACGAAAAACTAACTTTTATTGTTGCACCCTTAGCCTTTCCAGACAATTTAAAACTTGTTTTCCATTTCCTTGAGCTCTTCTCTTCCTCAAGTTCCTCCAATGTAAGTGGAAGCAACCTTGTAAAGTCAACTCGATGCCTCCCCAAATCAAGTTCTGGTGCTTCAGAGACAGAAGCGTAGAGCAGGAAATGCTTTGCCTCATACTTTGCTGACCGCTGAGATCCACTCATACTCCCATATACTGAACAAGTATAAGTCAGTTTCTCTTCAATTTCAGCAGTTCCATCAAGAACCTTTGCAGGACGAGTCACTAGACCCCCATCTCTCGTCTTCTCTCCAAATTCAGCCGTTGCATCAAGAAACTTTGCAGGGCGGGTCACCAGACCCCCATCTCTCAATTTCCAGTGCACGCAAACACTTCTGTCATTGAAACTCGGTGGCAAACCTTCAATGCTGCCAACTTGGAGACAGAAACAACAAGTGAACCTACGGTTTCTAACATTTGAAAACGTGGATTTCCAATTCCAAAGGGACTTCTTTTCTTTCTGTGAAGGGTCCTCATTACCAAGCTTAATCTTGGGTCTTGGTTCAGGCAGGCCTGGTTTCCCATATGGTTTAGACCGAGTACTAGGCGACACTGAAGGTTTTTTGCTTTTGTCTAAAGAATGAGCTTTGCTAAACACTTCAACTTCATTCAACAACTTCCCACTACCTGAATCCTCCCCAATCTTCTTTCCAGCTCCAACTTTAGACGACATCCTCTGTAAAATTCATTTTCTAAGATAAAAACTAAAAATCAACCCCCCCAAAAAAAAAAAAAAAACCTCTTTACTACAAGGATACGATATTCAACTTCCAATTTAACAAATTTTACAATATATTTATTAAAAACGTTATTTTTTTTATTTAAAATTAAAAGAAAAAACCCTTAAAATTACAAATTTTAATCGTTGAACAATGAGTGTAAATAAGTGGACTGAATTAGAGGTTGTATTAAAGGTTGTATTAATCATTTTCTTAATGCCAATTCATTATAGAATCAAAAATCAAACGAATTCAATTATATTCTTTACTCCTTCATGATAAATGATAATGAAATTATAATTAAAAGAAATGGGGAAATACAAAAGAAGAAAAATGAAGGTGGGAAATTAAATTACCAGAAAGAAGTTTCAGGAATCAAAATCTTGAACCTGCTAACCTAGATTACGCAGGGACAAGGGGGGTCTCCATCTCCCATTCAGAATAAAAAAATGCTGAGATTCATTTGATTCTTCGGGAGGAAAAAGAAATTGGCAAAGACAGAATTAAGAAGGTCGGAAGCTGAATATCTTGATCTTACAAGATCAGTAAGGAATGTCTGAGGCGCCGCACCTTCGTTTTTGCCCGCCCGCTCCGTCGTTCTGTTCTCTACCGTATAATATTCAAACTAATATACGTAGTATTTTCAATTAGATCCCGTAGTTTTGCATGTATTGTGTTTCCACCATTGTAGTTTCTTTAATTTTTCTCATTAGTCTCGTTTTGGTCTTTTCCGAAATTTTTCACTTTTTTATTTGGCCAAATCTTCTATTTGCACCCTACATATTTTTTCTTTCTACGGTTAATACCTTAAATTAATTTTCTTTTCAATTAACACCCATTACTATTCAAAACCTATGAAAAATCTAAAAATTAATGGTCAAACTCTCTATTTACACTTGATTTTATGGTCAAATCTTCTATTTACAACATGATTTTATTTGTAATTTGAGGATTTTTACGGTTTTGAATAATAAAGGGTTTGACCAAGACGAAAATTAATTTAGAATGTTAATCGTAAAAATAAAAAATATGGAAGGTACAAATAGTGAATGGGCCTTTTTATTTTCCTTATATTGAACAAATTGCTCAAAATTATCTATCAAATGGAGTGAATCCCTTGATATAGGTGTTAGTCCTCCTATCTGGCGGTCTTAATTTTATAATTTAGACTATAAAAGAAGTATTTTTTTATTTGTAATATTTTCTTTATGCATCAAAAGAACATTTTTTTCTGAACTAAAAGACACCTTAGATTTGGTTTCCATATATGCAGATTTGGTTTATTGGTCCTTTCCTTCTATGGCATTTATATGGGAATATTTGACTTAATTGAATGGATCAACATAATCCATTAAAAGGAGAGAATCCTATCACTTATGGTTGTTATTTTTATTAGTGAAATAATCAAGGTCATTTCTGATTTGTGTGCCTATATTTTTAACTTGATTAGCTTCACTGAGTTAATCCATTGAAATATTTTAAATTATTTTTATTAAATAATTTTATGAAGTTCAGCCAACCGGACCTGTGGCCCAATTGGTTCGCTCCCAAGCTTTAGGGCTTGAGTGAGGCGAAGGTCAGGGCTTCGAGCTCTGCCAGACCTAATAGTCGCGCGCCTCAAATGAGGGGTGGAACGTTCACTTTCCTGAAAAAATTCCAGCTGCTAACAAACTAACTCTACTAATTTCCTAACCATCTACCTGGTCAAAAATAATAATAATAATAATTTTATGAAGTTCAAAAGATTTTAAAATATTTAAGTATTTCAAAATGAGTTTTATATTTTATAATTCAGATTATAAAACAAAACTATTAAATGAAAGGGAATAATGTTAATATTAAAGAACATGTCTCATCTAATAATTTAAATTATATAATCTGATACAATTCAAACTATAAAATATATTAATATATATGTTGAGTTTAAATTAACTATCTAGGCTCATTTGTGCTTGAACTACTAACCAAATCATATATATGTTCTAATATTTTTTTTATGAGGTACAAAGTTTTTTATTTCTTCGTGTAACAATTAACTGTTATCTTGCATTAAGCTAAGTTTATTTCCAAATGGCCTAATGGTAAAATTTGACTCCTGCTCTTTTGCAAGACACCTTGTGTGAAGGCAATGCAGCTGCAGACTTCCTAGCTGCACTTGGTCACTCATCTTCCCCGGGTGTTCATGTCTTCGATTCCCCACCAAATGGGATTTGATATTTTCCTTATTGGGGATTTGATGGGGGCTAGTTTCCTCTGGACTAAGTAGCTAGTTTTATTTTTCTCCTGATGTATCAAACAAAAAAACCTAGCATGTAAAACTAATATCAAGTCATCGACCAATCATAAAATCAAACTAAATTGCAAATTATAACAAAACCAACATAAAATTGGACAATAACATGCAGATGTCAAAACTCATACCTCAAATAAACCTCTAAACTTAACCATTAGGCCAGGCCACATTATATCCACCACTCAATTAAATAATTTAATTAAAACTTGATTGAGCTTAATTCAATTATGTTCGAACTAGCTTGAGTTCATCTCATTTACAACTATTTATTTAGAGTGCATCAACCCAATGCTATTTAGGTTGGCAATGCGTTGTATTGTTGTAATCCTTTTGGACCTTTTCAACCAAAGTTTGATCCCTGGGCAGGGGAAGAGAATCCATTCTGGACCTAATGGTTACCAAAGAATTTTATTTTCATATTGGGTAACAAAATATACAAAACCAAAGTAACAAATACAAACAGTATTTATGTAAACAATGAACATTATTCATTACATAAATCAAATTTTTTTAAATACAATAAAACAATGAATTCATACAATGCAATTACCATAATCTATATCACAAAATGCCCAAAACAGGGCACTCTGCAGCCACCCTCCAAAACACATCAACATTTCACTGCTTCAAAAGAGCAAGAAGAGAAATGACAAGAGAGAAAGCCAGAATACTTCCGGAAACCGGCATAGAGGAGGCAGCTCCGGGGTCCATTGACGGTGCAGGAGCTTGAGCCTGAGCTGACACAGAGGCAACCACCGCGAGGACAACAACAAAAAAGAACATAACTGCCTTGGAGATGCAAGCTTGGGCCATTGGTGAATTGAATTGAAAGAACAGGAATTAAGAGACAAAGGAAGTGTTAATTAGATGTGCCTGAAGATCTCAAATGTTTTGTGCAAATCAATGATGGAAATGTATGTGTTTATATAATAAGAGAGGATTGGACCCGACGGTCAAATGTAGGTAACACGTTGGTGTTCATTGGATGGCACCGTACCGAATAGGAGCCGCCCACATGGCAAATATGGCCTGTTGTGGTGGTTGACATGTTCTCCTGTCAGATTGGAAACTTCTACCCAATTCTTCCCCCCATGTTCCACCGCCAGCTGCAATAATTTGCTTCCATTTTCCTCTTTTCTCATTTTTGGTGAGAATTTTTTGGAGTTGTTCATATTGAATTTTGTCGTTTTATTGTTTGATATCATATCATAATATCAATTATCTTTAAAAGAATAGTATTATACAACAAAACATTGTTCTCATATAATTGTATTACCCTCCGATTAAAATAGTCCTATTATCTCTATTAAAGTTGGAGAGATTACATGTATTATTGCTACACTCAAGTACTATTTTAATAGGTTTGGTTACTCCATTGAATGGGTCATATCTTGAACTTGTAATCACCTAATTCAGGAAATTTATTGAAGGTAGAGATTGTTAGATATTGAAGGGAATTCGGTTGAAATTTAAAAAAATAATGGCTTCCATGATTGGTGTAACAAAAATGAGTGGATGAGTTTGTATAGTAGCATAAGGAATCATTTTGTTTCATATTAATTAGGGTATATGTATTTAGAAAATATTACCAGAGTTTAAATTAAATTGCAGTTCAAAATTACTGTGAAATAATATAATTGTGTTTTTTAATTATTTTTTATTACAAAAACTATGTTTTTATACGATAATTATTTTTTAAAAAATACTATAATAATATAATTATTAAATTATGTAAAATATTAATTGAAATTAATTTTAATTGTATTAAATTATTGTAATACTTTTCGCTAGGTGCATTATGAAAAAATAATTTCGAACTGCAACCAATTCTTGTTTTGAATGAAACAAACGAGACAGCCTCAAGTTATGACCTAGAAAACTGAAACCTACTAGGACTATTCTAAAATTGTGACTCAATTAAAGAGTCCACAACTCTAAAGTCGTGGATTTCATACATGGATAGGGGCTTTTTCTAAATGGGGTTTTTATACATTAATTAATATACTTTTAATTTTTAATTTCTATAAAAAATAAAAAAATAAAATTAATTTTAATATTAATAACATGTGAGAATTTTTATTAAGCAATTTATAATTTAAAGATGAATTTTTAATATTTCAACATAAATTAATTATTAAAAATACATTAGCTTGTGCATTAAAAACACACATTAAAAAAATTTTATACTCGTAATTTAAAAGTGTATTTAATGTATTTTTTAAATATTAATTTATGTAAAAAATAAAAAAATAATATTAATTTTCATATTAATATTATGCAATTTATAATTTAAAGATGAATTTTTAATATT